GTGCTTACGTTGTCTACATCCTATGTGGAGGCAGAGGTAAATTTGATCTAGATGTTTTTTGCAAATGAATTCGTCAGGAGATTCATAAGTATCATCTTTATGGAATTTTCAATTAAAAATTAGTTGCGTTTTCGCGAAAGTCAAACGTAGACTTTTCTGTATACTGATGTGTTTTTTCCGTGATCTCGTGTGGTCGTTAAGATTATGAACGAAAGAAACTTTTCTTCCATGAATTTAACTACCTTTTGGCGAGAGATGTGTAAAGTAATAGATCATGCGCTTAGCTCAAGTTACAAGAACCGCAGTTACACATTTTTTATTGAAAGTTATCGATTAAACGATATTAGGTATGTAGAGTATAAATATTGCTAACAGCAAAATGGTGCATTACTTCAGCTGAACATGAATTATCCGTAGGTGGTTCGCGCTGGAATGAGTCTTCTCCCATTTCTTGTAGTTGGATTTGTGATTATGGCTTGTGTCTCGTCCCTAACAACTTTCTTAAGCGCTCTATTCATGGGTCAAGTCAGCATCCATAAGGTAAGCTTACCATTTGCTTCTTCTTACATGAAAGAGCCATTGGCCTCGGCCCACTTGCTTTTTTTAGTTTTCTCTGGCAATAATGGCGTGCATCTGTCCTTTTATGGCATGTGGTACAGCGCTTGGTGCTTTATTTTTCATTGGAGTGAGATTTGGTTCGATTCTATGTGTGACACCATTCTTAATCCTGGCCATTGGTAAGTAATCTTTTCCTCCTAATTTGGATTGTAAATTATTCTAAAAAGTTTAGGAGTGGATGATGCTTACCTCATGATACATTCTTGGCAAAGGGTGACTAAAGAGTTGAGAGAAAATCCGACTAAGGAAGATTGCGCTGCATATCGACTTGCACAGGTCGGGTTTAACTTCTTCACCGGCTAGAAATAATTTTGCCTCTAATACCTTGTGCTTATGTTAAGCTTACAAATGAATTGTAATAATTTCTAAATGATTTTCTTGCTTTGATTTCAGTGCTATTCATAACGAGATGAACACTAAAAAAATATTTTGGGAAAGGAAGTCTCAAACCATATCTGATAGACGGGATGTTATGAGCGTTCTTTTTTTT